GGACGTTTTAAACAATGGGATATGGAGAAGAAACTATGAGAGGGATGATAGTCCTAGTGAGCCTGCATGTTTGTGAAGTCTCTCCCAGAGAAATGAAAATCAGCTGGGATTTAAACCCTGAGTTTAAGATTCAGGAAAAAAACAAGTATGTGTGCTGTTACCCATCCATGTGTGTCACCTGGGCAGACGTAAGGGGACACATTGGGAAGTTGGCAGGCAGAAGCAACTGTTTCTACACAGGCCAGAACTGGAGGCATTGTGTGTTCCAGGATCACAGTGTTCAACATTTGAAATGTAACAGTTCACGACTAGGTTGTCACAACTGTTCGGGTGTGATTGTGCAATCTCATTGTGGAGTTAAGGTGAGACAATAGTTTGGCCACACGAAACATAGTAACGGCTCCCAGGAAACTGGTGTTCACGTGGGGGCTAACTCTGCTCATGTGGAGTATAGCTTCCCAGGGAGGCTGCCACAGTTTTCTTCACTGTGATTTATTGTCCTTTAGAAACAGTTGGTATGGAGTTAAGGGGCTGGAACATATTTTGTTTGTGAAAGATTTTGCGTAATGGTAGTTTTTATTATGTTGACAATGAATATGTAGTTTGTTTATTGACTCTTGATCATGGCAGATTGTCTTGTTCAAATTGTCTTGAAAATGCAGTACATTGTGAGTTTGTCTATTTAGTACCTAGACATTCTCTTCTCTATTGTGTTACATGAATTAATAGTCATGATAATGATTAAAGAGCATTGTTTCTTTGATTTCTTAACTTTTAAAGGCTACTGTCACCTGCTTGTGAAAATGTGATTCTAATGCTGGTCAAAATGATTCAGTATGGTGATAGAAATCGGTGAGGTTAGTTATTGCAGCTCCATAGAATAGTTAATTGAGAAATTGAATCAATAAGCAATTGAAATAATTGATTAATTAATTGTAATTCATTACCTCAGAAACCTCACAAATATTAACATATGACATAACAACCTGTAATGATTGTTATTATGAGACTCTTTTAAAATAAAAAATAAAACCTTAAACCTCTGGCCATAATTCTGCCAAGTGTCTGATAATCCTAAACTGACTTTTTTTTTTCTGAGATCCTGTTTTACTTTTGAAGAACATAATGGATTTATTTATTTCCTCTAATGGTTAATTTTGTTTAGTTAGCCAGAGCTCTCAGCCTCACTAGGGAGGTTTTACTAACCTTCAGGAGTGAGGTCAGAGCTCCTTCTGAGGAAACATTGCCGTAGCCATGTAGTATTAGGTAAATACACCCTGCAAAAATAAACCCAAAGTGTGTCAGTGGGCCCCGGGGAAAGGATGAATCTAGCCTGACACAGTTTAGTTGTTGAAAGGTTCCTAGTGGTACTCTTACAAATCTCCATTTCCTGCTAGAGGGCTCAAATGGTTCTATTAATTATCATCTGAAGAAGCATTTTTACCTGCAGTTAAAGTTACTATGTGATTAGAGAATATTATAAACAAATAAAAATCTATGATTTCCATTGTGGAGTATCTGTAGTGACCTCTCTCTTTCTTAGTTATATCATGGAAGAAGTGTTCAGTTAAGGGCAACATTGATATTAAAATATTCATGATTAAGTAAGTATATAGGAAGTAAGTGAACAAAAGCTTCTGGTTTATTTGTGAATTTTGTTTTCAGTCTGGGTAGTGGGTATTCCTTATAGAAGACCCAGCTAGCTTTCGTAGTCATATTCTGGAGGGCTCTTCTGAAAATTTGTGTCTTAGGCTATTGATGGTATTTCAGTGAGAGGAAAATAGGAAGCCTTTTCCCCTAACCCTTGGCAGTTCTTAACCTTCAGTGTTATGTTAGCATTACATGGAGGTCCGTTTGAAGTGAATCCTCAAGACATTTTCCTTGCCTGTTTTCAGATATTAGTTCATCTCCTTGAGTACCTTGTTCTGGCCCCTCAGTGCACATGACTGCCTTGTGTTAAATGCTTGGAAGAGCATTGCTTTGTGCTTCTAACTGGATTACATTCCCATACTAATTATCAGTAACCATTTGATGCTTTTTTTTTTTTTTTAAACCTGCAGAAGGTCTTGCAGGTGGCAAAGGTAAGCAGCAGTCAGGCCACATCTCCCAGCTATTTAGCAAGAATAAACCTTCTTTTAGGAACTTTTAATTTATTTTTGCATTTCATGCAGAAGGTCATGATCTCACACCCTCCTTGCTGGCATCTTGACTTTAAAAGCAGTGCTTTAGTGCCCAGTGATCTACCAAGAAGTGTGATTCACTCATTAAGCCTAAATTTCTAATAAAAATGTAGACAGGACCTAACAATACAGGCTTCTAAATGATTTTGCCCTCTTCATATTAGGTTTTTTTTTTTTTAAGTGAAGAAATTGAACAGAATAATGATTGCCTTTCCATCCAATTTGTTGTCTATTTTATTCGGGCACCTAAGTGGCTAATTTGCCAGTCAATCAAGATAAAATTTTGTTCCTGCATTTGTTTTTACACTAATCTATGTATGTCTTGTCTATTATATTTTACATTTGATTCATTCTATCTAACAAAAACTATAAGGACATAGAAGAAATAATCAGATGATTTTGTTTTTAGGAAGCCTGGGGCATATTTGGCCAAAAAAAAACCCCCAACAAATGTTAAATAAAAGAATGTATGTTGTTTTCCATTTCTTTGATAACTTCCTGGTTGTTGATATTCTTCCTGACTCTGTTCTGACTAATATGTGCAAGGGTTTCCCAAAGATTAAAAATCATATTTCATCATGAACATTATATAAGCACTTCTGGTGTTCCTTACGGTGAGCTTTAGAGGACTATGTATTGTCACTGGCTAGATTGGTTAGATTGGTCCACTCATCATCTTTGCTGAATTGGAAAATGCAGCACCTGCCTTGATTTTAGGAAGCACATGTCCTTCATGCTTTTGGCATCCAAACTTCCTAATGCCTAGTTTTATGAATAAAAGTCATTGTGCTTCCCTTGACTGTGAAAGTAAGAAAATAGCTAATGTTAAGTCAGGATGTTGAGGTCTCGGCTTGCCTTGTGGTTGTAGGTGTGGTCCGTTGGTCATGATGTGTAGGAATAGACAGGAAGTTTGAGGCCTGGTTCCCTCTGTAACAGAGAGTGAAGTGACATCTTTCCCATGGGTCACTGCGCTTCCTTCAACTCTAGGCTTTGTGATCTTCTTGGCTTTTTTACTTAGATCCAGTGCTCTTATCAATTCAGCCATGCCTCCCCTTCCAGCTTTTTGCTGGTTATATGGAGATAATAGTCTTACAGATTTTTCTGCCCAGTCTGGCTTTGAACTGAGATTCCTAGATCTCAGCTTCCTGAGTAGCTAGGGTTCCAGATGTAAGCCATGGTGCCTGGCTTCATGAAGCTTCTTGAGGAGATGGTGACTGTATGGTTACATAGCATAGCAAAATTGCCTTCTGAGCCTTTGGTATGTATATCTTGAGATGTTTTAAGTTCATTTCAGACATAAAAACAAGATAATTACATTTTAGGAACTATTTTGTTCTTTTATATCAAGAAACATTTCAATAATTTTTCCCCCACTACTGAGAATTTGTTTAAAGCATCCCCAAACCAAAATGCAGAGTATGGCTAAGCCTGAGAATGTTCAATCTGTATCCCATTCTCTTCCTGGGCTGCCCTATCTGTCTGCACTGCTCCAGGATAGAGCTTCTAGTGGCACGCAGAACATCCCGCAGTCTCAGCTCTTACCCAGGGGTAGGCCTTCTGGATGTACAAAGCACCTTTTGCCCTGAACTTGACTGGGCCTTGTCTTGGGGATCAGATAACCTTAGAGATCAGTGGGTTTCCGAATTTGGAAGGTAAATATTGTAGGAATCATTCATCACGTTCTGGGTTCATCTCATATTCTCTCTATATCTGATCCCGTTAGTGTCAAGTTAGCATCACAGATCCCATCAGGAATGGTCTTAGAGCCTTGACATTTTTTTTTTTGGGGGGGGTCCGGTTGTGGAGCCTGAACTCTGGGCCTGGGCGCTGTCCCTCAGCTCTTCAGCTCAAGGCTAGCACTCTACCACTTGAGCCACAGCACCACTTCCGGCTTTTTTCTTATGTGGTGCTGAGGAATCGAACCCAGGGCCTTGAGCATGCAAGGCAAGTGCTCTACCACTGAGCCACCTTCCCAGCCCCAGCCTTGACATTTTTTTAAACCTCCTAATCAGAGTATTAGAGTATACCAGTAGTTACATGCGGCCCTCCCACAGATGTCGCTTGCTCCTGTATGTCTGCGGGCAGTGGAAGAACAGTCACTTAGAAGGAGGTCTCTCTGCCTTGGTTCTTGATAAAATCCATGGGTACTTATCAGAAATTAATTTTAAATCAGTAAAACACAATCTGAATATTTAAATTTTACCATGCTCACAAAGAGTTGGAAAAACTTCAGAAGAAAGAGGCTGTTTTAGTCAGTTTGGGTTTCTATAATAGAACCATGAATAGAGTAACATGTGAATGAGAAAGTCCATTCTTCAAAATTTCAGATCAATTTTATAATATTGTAAGGGCAAACTATTAGCAAATATGTCAAAATATTTTAAAAAAACATTTAAGCCTATGTAATATTTTAATGAACTGTGTAAAACTTTATATGTCAAGGTAAGTTATGCCCATGTGTCAAGAGAAGAAAATATTGTTTGAATGTTATGCACAATTCAATAATTTGGAAATAACACTTATACAAAATTTCAAATATTGCTCATTGAATTGAAACGCCTAGCATGTAATTACCTGATGCATGAAATTTAGATTATAACATGGTCTATGAATCAATGTATTGAAGAATTTAGGGCTATAATTTTCCATGTGAGAGTATTGGAAACACTTGAATTTGTTGTGTATCATATAAGGCAACATGGAGTATTTTGCTTGAAAGCCCATCTGCAAATATAAAAGAAAAAACAAGTTCTATATAGAAGCCCATTTAGTGTTGACCCTAATCCCAACATTTACATTCTCTCTCTGTTTTCTCTTCAGGACATCCAGGCAGAAATTGATGCCCATAATGACATATTTAAAAGCATTGATGGAAACAGACAGAAGATGGTAAAAGCCCTGGGGAATTCTGAAGAGGCTACTATGCTTCAACATCGACTGGACGACATGAACCAAAGATGGAATGACTTGAAAGCAAAATCGGCTAGCATCAGGTCAGAATACTCATAGCCAAAAGGAGGGTTACATTTTTTGCGTATCTGAAATGGAAAAGGCAGTCCATCTCCAGAGCCATTCTCTCTAAAGGTTCAAATGCAAAGACTGTTTTCTTGCAAGTTATTGTTCTAGCACCATTATGTCCAGTGCTCTCTGCCCCTTGTACCTGACTGTTCCCACATGTTCATATCATATTGTACACCTCATAATGCTAATAGCAGTAATATCACTAACACCTGCTCTTTACTGAGTATTTACCTTTGCTACATACTATATTTGGACCTTTACAAGCCTTACTTTATTGGATGCAGTCAGGGTGTCGCACAGCGTTATTTCCATCAATGGCCAATTGCACATACGGTGGGTGGTCCCATAAAATTATATTGCCCTGTGGGTTGCAGCCATCTCAGTTTGCCTAAGTCCACTCAGTGATGTTAGCATACTGACAAAAGTGACCTATGGTGTGTTTCTTAGAATGTATTCCTATTGTTAAGTAACACAGGATTATGTTCGAATTTAAATCTAGATTCTTTTGACTCTTGCTATTGAAGTTGCTTGACTTCATTGGATTTTTAAAATTTGTTGTTGTTGTTGTTGTTGTTTTTATGTCCAGCTAGAAGATGGATTCAATGGGATGAAATATCTCTTATGGGCACTAAAATGGGAAGTTGATGGTTCTGCATTTGGAGAGAATAATATTAAATAGCATGAACCTGAGGAAAAGACCTTGGCGAATTATTCAGAGCCAGGAGGTTTGGAAGTCAAGATATTCAGTCTGGCCAGAATTAGCATTTACTTGGTGTTATGACAGGGGAAGGAGTTTCTCTAGAAAAAAATAATAAAGTGGAGAGAGAGATTTGAGGCAAGGCCAGGAAACCTATGGAGGCTCCATGCTTCCAAACTTCCCTGGGTGCAGATATCCTGGCTTTGTTGTTTTTTGAGGATGAGACCATTCATTCTGCTCCTTAGAGAATATAACACCTAACAGGTTTTGTGTTTCTGATTGTGTTTTTTTTTTTTGTCGGTCGTGGGGCTTGAACTCTGGGCCTGGGCGCTGTCCCTCAGCTCTTCAGCTCAAGGCGAGCGCTCTACCACTTGAGCTACAGCGCCACTTCTGGTTTTCTGGTGGTTTATTGGAGATAGGAGTCTCACGGTCTCTCCTGCCCGGGCTGACTTTGAACCGCGATCCTCAGATCTCAGCCTCCTGAGTAGCTAGGATTACAGGCGTGAGCCACCAGCGCCCGGCTCTGATTGTGTTTTAATTGTGCTAAAGTTGCTGTTACCTTGGGCAGAGAATATTCTCCCTAATTTATCTTCAGTTTTTCAGGAAAGAGGATATCTGCCGATGATCATTGAATATTTATATACCATGTCTTTTATAAAAGATTGATAGGCAGTACCTACTTTGCTCACCATATGGTCATTGCAACAATGTAACAATCTTGTCTGGAATCTAAAATACTACTTTGTAGTGTTTTTAGATGACCCTGGAATATTTTAAGCATTGAAATTCAATGTGCCAAATATTCTAGCAGTCTAATAAACAATACATTCTGATGTATATTTCACTTACATCAGAAAAAGAAGACACTTCTAAGTTTCAACTAGATTAATATTATCAGACACTGACAATATTTTATATTCACTGGGAAAATGTGAATTGAAAATATGCTAATGTTTTAATGTTTATGTTTAATGCTTAAATGTTTATGTTAAATTTACTGAATGTAAGATAATGTTAATTAAATATTCACCTATAAGCTTTTTTTTGGGGGGGGGGGGGGAGGTCCGGTTGTGGGGCCTGAACTCTGGGCCTGGGCGCTGTCCCTCAGCTCTTCAGCTCAAGGCTAGCTCTCTATCACTTGAGCCACAGCACCACTTCTGGCTTTTTTCTTTTTGCTTATGTAGTGCTGAGGAATCGAACCCAGGGCCTCTGGCATGCAAGGCAAGCGCTCTACCACTGAGCCAGCCACCTTCCCAGCCCTCACCTATAAGTTTTAATGATGTTTTAATACAGATTCTTATTAAAATATGGTTTTCAAGGCCAGGGAAGTTGTCAAATCTAATGAAAATAGAGCTCAAAGATAAAATTTGCTAGATGCTGGTAGCTCATGCATGTAATCCTAGCTACTTAGGAAGCTAAGATCTGAGGCTCATGGTTTGAAGCCAGTCTGGGCAGAAAATTCCATGGGACTCTTACCTCCAAGAAACTACTCAGAGAAAGCTGTAAGTGGCGCTGTGGCTCAAGTGGTAGAGTGCTAGCCTTGAGCACAAATTGGCTCAGAGACAGTGCCCAGACCCTGACTGGCAAAAAAACAAAACAAAAAAAAAAAACAAAAAAAAACAACAACAACAACAAAAAACATTCTCTCTTCCTTTTCTTTGATGAACCTCTTAAAAATGCACGCCATCTTTTTAAATTAACCATTAATATCATCATGTGCATTTAAGGTTACCACATTTTAAAGTGTGATTGTAATCTCTTTTAGCCTTAAATAGTTAATTTTGTTAACTATATTATAAAACTCAAAAAGATGTGAGAAACCTTTCTCATTCTATTTCCTCTGATGCAGCCCTTCCCAACAAAAAGATTTGCAGTGACAGAAACATTCTCTATCTGCTCTGATCAGTAGAGTACCAACCAGCCATGTGTGGCATATTGAGTACTTAAAATGTGCCTATTGCAATGGATGAACTGGGTCGCCAACCTTATGCACTTTAATGAGCCTAAATTTTGATTTAAATAGTCGTATGTGTCTAGTGGCTACTATACCCAGAACATAGCTTTAGTGTTTGTTCAGCACATTCAGGCTGGATTCTAAAGACTTGACTCTTTTTTCTTGGTAGGTCTTAATTCTTGTCTTGGGAAGGAGGAATGGTCTTCTTTTAATATCACCTTTACTCTTGGATTAATGAAGATCTTTTTCTTTCATTATGACCCAATTTATAATCTGTGAGTTTTACCAGAAATTAAAAAGTACTTATATTTTGTAATCAGAAAGTCAAGCTTATTTTTGTGTTGTCCTTACACAATAAGAGCTAACATCTCTTTGCTGCCTCTGAATTTGAGTTGTTTGTTATACTCTTTGGAGATGGTTTCTTTAAAGGATAGGGACTTGGGATGATTTATAACATAAATTACTCAGTAGTTCCCTCCATCATTCTTGTTTGTACTATATTTGAATGAAATATCACTTTTATGGATCTTTATCTTGTAACAACTTTTTTGCACTTTAAATATAAGTCACTTAAAAAGTTGTGGAACTTAGAAAGTTGTAAAAATGAATTCCTTCTTAAAAGGGGGTACATTTTGGGAAGCATATTCATATTTTATATTCTGTTTTAGGAGGATAATGTAGCCAGTGAATGGATCTATTATTTTTTAGACATCAAGCATCTAAAGAATGAACTGGAACAACTAAGAAATAAGGATAAAGTCAACTGTGGAAAAAGACAAAAAAAACCCTGAGTAGCTATAAATAAATGTGATGTCTTAGATAAAGTAATGTTTTAAGCAAGGATTCGGAAAACCTGATGGATGGCCTGTTGTCTGTGGTCTTGAGGAGATTTAAGCTTCAACATGTTTATAATAACATTGATGGAGTTCAGCTAAGCCAAACACAAATGTAAAGTTTCTTCTTACAAAGCCTTCAACTCACTGCCCACGAAAAAGCTTTCATCTTGAAAGATGAAAGAATTCATAAGAAGCTGGAAGACTGAAGGCTACCCACGGAAGCATGCATTTAGTTGAGCATATGGTAGTAATCCACTAAACACAGAGGTGTAATCTGTTGGAGAATAACCAGAACAGATTTGCCAAAGATTCTGCCAGATGAACTTAATTTTTACTATGGGAAAGCAATGATGCAGGAGAAACACACACACATCGGTGTTTTTCTTTGTTATTTCAAAGCCACGTCAGCATCTCTTGTAAAAAGTATTTCCTTCATCTTTGTAGGTAGTCCTTTGGGAACTAAAGCCATAGGGCTCAATGATCAGCTTTATTATTCCTGTGCACTCAAGTGTTAACTGTATTGGGAAAGATAGTTGTGTGCTCTTCAATAAGTTTGTGCACCTGAAATTCAAAGGAAACTAAATTTGCATCTCAGATATTAAGGAATGAAGCTACAAATGCTGAAGACAGTACCAAATTTAAATAAGATGTGAGGCTAGGTGCATAAGTGATTTGCACACAGACATTTAAGTCTTCCCTGGCTGACCAGCGACCTTTGATTCTAGTTGTTTTTTGTATTGAAAAATATGGGAAGAAAATGGCAAAAGCTTTGTCAAAGGTATTTGTTGGATAATGGCTTGTAGGTGCAGAAAGAGTTTTCAATTAAAATAATGAAAATTACTTAGCCATGCTCTGTGACAAGTAAAATTATTGTTTATCAGAGAAAGCTAATTACATATTTGGCCTAAAATTAATTAACAGGATGAAAGAAAAGCTGGAGCTCAAGCAGAGTCAGGACCTTGTGAAAGCATACTTTTGCAAAGTAAGGCTAGTCAGAGTACCATGGAGCAAGCAGAAGCAATAGAAGATGCAAGAAAGTAGGTTTCTTTTTTTTTATTTTTTAGTAAGTTTTTTATTCTGAAAATACTGTACAGAGGGGTTACAGTTACATGAGTAAGGTAATGAGTGTGTTTCTAATCATACAACTCTCAGAGAACTATAAAATGCTTTGAACTTCATTTTGTAATTGTGAATTATTTATCTGGCCTTTATAAATATGATATAGAATACGAAGAGTTGGTTTTATATCATCCACTTGGAATCTACTGCAATCTTAATTCACCTTTTATATATAACTGTGTGAATACAGTATCTAACTAGAGATGAAGGGGAGATGAGACATTTCCGTTTGCTCTTCTGAGGATATGAACTTTGTTACAAAGTAACAAAGACTTCCAAGGCTGTTGAATATCTGTTGTCTGGGAGCTCTGATACAATGGTTGTGAGAATATTTGTTTGAATTAAATACAGAAGAGCTTCTGGTTTTCAGAGAAAGGCTCAAGTAGATTAGATGTGCACAAAAAGAAATCCGTGACCTATGTGAGACAGTTGATTGGTTTGGTGTTACTCAGCAGAGGCACAGATTGATGGAGATGGCGACCATCAGGACAGGTGGGAGGTTGTGAATGAGCGCAGAGGAAGTAAGGTCAATAGAGTTTTTCTGTGAGGCTTGCCTCAGAGAGAGTCATCTTCTTCCCTCGTCTCTTTCATTCCCCTTGGAAACTGTTGGGTAACAAGGTTAGGTTCATCTCAGTTAGGTTCATCATCGGTTCAGATCTCTTAATGTGATCCTCATTCTTTCTCAACAGGGCCCATTTGGAGGCTAGTGCAGAGAAATGGAACAGGCTCCTGGTGTCGTTAGAAGAACTGATCAAATGGCTGAATATGAAAGACGAAGAGCTTAAGAAACAGATGCCTATTGGAGGGGATGTTCCAGCCTTACAGCTCCAGTATGACCATTGTAAAGTGAGTGGACCATCTCTGGTGGGGTTCCTTAGGTTTGGTAACTATTTCTAATAAAATTCTAGGTAAATATCAAAGTTAGGCTGATCATAGCACAATGGCAATCTTCCCTTCTCCCTCTAAACTGTCAGTATTTAGGCATTTATTTTATTCATTGATTGATTCATTCATTTATTTGTTTTTGTGCTGGTCCTGGGGCTTGAACTCTGGACCTAGGCACTGTAACTGAGCTTTTGTGCTCAAAGCTAACACTCTACCACTGGAGCCACATCTCTACTTCCAGATTTTGGTGGTGAATGGGAGATAAGAGAGTCTCCCCGGCTTTCCTGCCTGGGCTAGCTTCAAACCACAGTCCTCAGATCTCAGCCTCCTCAAGGAGTTGAGATTACAGGTGTGAGCCATTAGCACCTGAAACAGGCATTTACTTAAAATTTCACTTACTGCTTTTTTTTTTTTTTTTCATATTATGAAGTTTCTTCATATTTCACTAAAATTTGTCAAATAATATAAGTATCTGAGGGAGAATATTGCTTTTAGCACATCATGAAATTTATCTAACTTTCTCATAGATTTTGGAAATTTAACATTGTATTGGGGAAAATTTAGAGTATAACTTACTTTAATCTTAAGTTCAGAAGTCTTAGAGACTTAAAGATTTACAAGTTAAGAATGGGAGAAAATATTTACAAATGAGCCGGGCGCTGGTGGCTCACGCCTGTAATCCTAGCTACTCAGGAGGCTGAGATCTGAGGATCGCGGTTCAAAGCCAGCCCGGGCAGGAGAGACCGGGAGACTCTTATCTCCAATAAACCACCAGAAAACCGGAAGTGGCGCTGTAGCTCAAGTGGTAGAGCGCTCGCCTTGAGCTGAAGAGCTGAGGGACAGCGCCCAGGCCCAGAGTTCAAGCCCCACGACCGACAAAAAAAAAAAAAATTTACAAATGACATATCTTAATAAAGGATTAATATCAAAATATATTTTAAAAATTACAAACTAACGACTTTGAACTACAAAATAAGCCTGGGAGGTAACTAACCTTGCCTGGCATGCTGGAGAAACTGGGTTTTGTCCCCTGAATCATTAAAAAACAAAACCAAAAATAGACACCCCCCCCCCCCCAAACACTCCCAAAGTACAAAAATCTAGAAAGTACCATCTTGTCTATATTAAATGAATGTTATAAAAAATAAAAACTTGTGATTAAAAAATAAGAATAGCTAGGTGCCAGTGGCTCACACCTGTAATCCTAGCTTCTCAGGAGGCTGAGATCTGAGGATTGCAGTTCAAAGCCAGCCTGAGCAGGAAAATCTGTGAGACTCTTATCTCCAATAAACCACTCAGAAAACTGGAAGTGACGCTGTGGCTCAAGTAGTAGAGCTCTAGCCTTGAGCTGAAGAACTAAGAGACAGTGTCCAAGTCCAGAGTTCAAGTTCCATGACCAACAAAAACAACAAGAACAACAACAACAAAAATAAGGGTAGATTTAGGTTTTATAGCAAATGAAGACAGTAGCATTTAAGATAATTTTATGTCTTATTTTTCTTTAACTCACAGTTATTCTAGCCTCTCTTTATATTTATGCTTTGGCAAACAGATGTTGAAATGTTGTCAAAAGACAAATTCTTCAATCATTGTGTTCTTACAAATTTCCCATAATTTATGAGATTCCTTTATACTATTTCCTGAATATATTGCATGTTATCTTCTTTTATTGTATTATTTACTGTCTGAATGCAGTATAAGTTCTCATTGTAAATCTATACATTTCAATGTAGTACTATAATTCTGTTCCAATTTGAAAAGTGGCAAACAGTAACACATGTTTTCCCTAAAGGAAGATCTCATCTGTTTAATAAATTGCTCTAATAAGGAATGATACAACCCTCCTTAAATTTGTTTTATGCTGAACCCTATAACTATACAATTAGAAATTGCAAGTTAAGTTATACCTTTTCTACTTGAAAAGAGAGCATAATAAATGTCTCTGAAAATAAGAAAAAGGGAGATATTGTCTCTGTGTGTGTGGTATGTAAAATAATGAAAGACTAAGTTCCCGATTTATGACACTCAAGTTTTTTTTCTATTAATTATTCATATTCCCATTTGTGGGTTTTGGTATTAGTGAGGAAATACAATCATACAAAGCTCTTCAAATGGCAGTGTTCTATACAGAATAAAAGCTGCCTCGGAGCACCTGTAACAAGCTTTGATTAAAACCCAAACCTTGAGGCATGAAATTATGTTCTCCTGGCAACCTTGGCCTTATTTTGGGAAGGCACACCAGCCTTCGCACTCAGTCACGGCTGTCTTGTATTCCCGGTCACAGTGAGGGTTCGTGGATTTAAGTTTTATTTCACTTTGTCCTAGAGCCTTGTATGCCACTGTTATACTTCAACCCTTTAATAAAGGTAAAACGACTGATGCTGCAGAGAATTAATGCCAGTTCATTTATTTGTTTAGTGACTTACACATACTAGGTATTATTCTAGTCACCAGTGAGTCTGCACTGGGGTTGGAGGTATGGTTAAACAGTGGTGGAGGGCTTGCTTAGCATGTCTGAGGCTCTGCGTTCATCACCAACACCAAAAAAAAATAAATAAATAAACCGAGTTCTCGCCAGAGTCTGAGTAGTAAAAGGCACCAGGAGGTGGTTACTGGTTAGGGATGGGTAAGATCAAGGAGAAAGGGGTAGATGAATGAAGAGAAGACAGGGAAAATACAGATAAGAATCCAATGTATATCCAACAAATGTAAGAAGAGTGAAGGAAGGGGCGAGTAGGAAAGGGATGGTTGAGAAAGAAGGGGTGACAGTGATCCAGATACTATACTCCCAAACTGCTTTGTTAAACGGCAACTCCTTTGCACAGCTAAAAGATTATTATCGTATTAATAATACGATAATAATATTATATTAATATATTAATATAATTATTTTATAATATATATAATATATAATATAATAATTATATTATAATAATATTATATTAATATATTAATATATTATATATCCATGGTAAATGAAATGAGAAATGAAAGCAGGGTCATGGAGCGTTGTGGGAGTGTACAGGCCCGAGGTGGAGAAAGGTTGGAAAGGATATGTTGTTATTTTGATTCTTTGATTTTAAAAAAGCAAATCAGCAAGAGTAATTAAATTGCATGATTTAGGCATGATTTTTTTCTCTATAATGTGTGTCCTTTCCCGCTGGGCGGTACTGTCCTTTGCTTAACCCAATTTAATTTTATATTCAAGCCCGATTATATAAAAGTCAGGACACTTGGGTCTTCACTGAATTGCCAAGATAAATTACAAAATTTACTTATTAAAATAAATTGTAATACTGCCGTGAAGAAAACCACTTGACCATTAAATTTCGGTTGTGCATATTTGTGTGTGAAGGCCCCTTTCTCTGTGAGTGTGTGTGGGAGTGTGGTAGGGGTGAGTCCAGGGCTTTTTCTCCTGTTAAAGTCATCTAAGACTACCCGAAAACCTGTCATTTTGAGATCTTGCTGTGTTAGGAGGTTCCCTATTGTGGCACATTAGTCTTTTTGTGTATTTCTCAGCAATGGATTCCAAGTTCCTTCCCAACCTTTGCCTCTTGTATTGACTTCTTCTTAGCTGCCTACAGCTGGCTGAGCAGTCATGGAGCGGCACTTCTGCTAGTGAGGCACGGGCTCACGAGGCCTCCCAGCCTCTCCTCATTTGCTTGTCAGTTCCTGGTCGTGTCCACTAAGATGGATCGGTGCAGCTGCACCTCCCTCTGAAGAGCCTCAGGAACTCCCTATTTCAAGGAGTTTGAGGGAGCCTCATCTGCTAGCCATCACTCCTTGAGGATGAAACGAAGAGTAGACAGCAAGGCGAGATAGGTGAGGAATAGTTTACACCAGCCAGCTCCATCCACATGAACTGCTTCTCCAATGCACTTAGCCCAGAGATGGTTTCCCTGACTGGCAGACCATCTTTTCCTTGAGATGTCTGCCACCTGCTTTGCTAGGTACTGAGCATGCATGTGTTCATTAGATGATTCTTGCTTTTGTGGAGCTCCTTGTCTAGAATCTGGGACATCCAGACCCTCCAGTAGAGACACGGAAGCCTAGACGGATCCTCTTGTATTAGAGAAGCATGAAAGGCTGTACAGAACAAGAAGCTCTTTGAGCTGAGAGACCTTGCAATAAGGAAGAAATCACTGAAGAGCATTCTCAAATGTGTCAGAGTGTGCAATAGAGCAAGAGATGTTGCATATTTCCCTTTCCCCTTACATTTAGAGCATACATGGCCCATGCCTAATACAGTGCCTGATAATTAAAAGTACCATATATAGTTGTTTGCCTGCTGGATGATAGCATTTGCTTTTAAAGGAAGGTACAGCATGTATTTGCTGGATGGAAAGAGGCAGTCATGTGTGAATATATCTTCAAAGAGTACAGGCAAGAAGACTGCTTTATTGCTGTGAGAAGCTAGAAGGATTCCTGTCTCAGTGTTATCATTCATGCAGAATGTTCTTTAAGCTTTATTTTTTATGTCAGTGGGGTGGAACCAAAATAGATTTATATATTAACTGTCTGTTTAGAAACACAAACCAAAAAACTTTTACAGCACTATGAGGGAAATTAAAAAAAAAAAAAAAAAGATTGTCTGCCTACTAATGGGAAGTCAGATGATTTCTTTCTCTTTTTTTTCTTGTAGTTTTATTAGTACTATCAAATTTAATGACTTCTCTGCCCTTTTTTTTATATCCTAAGTGTAATGACTTCAGATCTATATCTGCTGATTTAGCTTTGGAAGCAAGTTGAAAGGGAAAAGTGTAAATTACATTCTAGCGGATTCTCCTTACGATTGTATCACTTACTGCTTTTTTTCTACATGTATTCTGCAGTAAACAGTGAAGTGTTTCTTTGAAACTGGAAGCAATAGAGCCTCTGATTTCTCACAGTCACAGCTGTGATCGCAGGCCCAGTTTCTCAGGCCTTTTTTGCTCACACACATCACCCACACTTCGAAGGGT